GTGTTTAACTTGTTAGCATTTTAGGTGCTATAGCAAGTGAATGTATCATTAAACGATTACTATGTTCACTGGGGTTATTCGATCTATGCAAATAAGATGCATTTTAATTCTACATGATTTAATTTGGGGAGCTGGGGGAATCCTCCTACTTGGGAATCTCTGCTGATCAAAATATTAGCACATTGCATAACTTGGTGTGATGACTTAGTGCTTCGTAACTTATTGCTACAAATTACAACTAAACTTACATGCCTACTTTAGATTAACTATTTCTTGCTTGAGAGGTTTGAAGGGTTACCCTACAATGGAACACTGAGCACATAACTTAAAATGACATTTAGAACAAAACTTCTTTTCCTGAAGGGCAAAAATGTAGCTGCATGTGAATCCCCATTAGTATATGGAGCTGTAGCCAGTATTTATGCAGAATCCCCAAGGCAGAGATTGAGGAAAAATAGCTGACAGAGCTAGACTTGTGGTAATGTGAGTTTGAGGTATACTAGAGGGAAAGGTATTGTTGTAAAGCTTAAACTGACTTTCTAAAGCACAACGATACTGGTGGAAACACTCCAATTTACCCTGTGGCTTCAAGTGTTTGACCCTAGTATTTAACTGTCAGTAAGCAAAAGAATCTGATTAACTTGTCTGTCTTGTACAGAATTGTCTTCCCATGCTGGACATCATCAAAACAGGAACAGAGTAAATTAAAATAAACCCATTTTTTTAAATCTTATTTTCCTGTCTGAGACCTAGAAACTCCAGTATATGAGTATGATTTGTCAGTATGGCAAATACAGTATTCTTGCTTATAGGTTCCTTAAATAAGGACTAAACCTGAATCTCTTGGTAAAAAATTTTATAGACTCTGCAGAGCTTGATCTGATTGAGGAGTAATTATGTTAACAAAACAAGCTTTATGCCTTTCCTAAACAAAACTGCAATCTGCCTCATGAGTCCTACTGGATGAAGCCCTTTTTTTTGACAGCTTATGTGTTGCAGCTAACTTCTGGCAAGTATCGTGTTAAAACAGGAAGTGATAATTGTAGAATTTCTAATTGCTGAGATTAATCAATTTGGGTATGTCTCAACCCATTGCAGTGAGGTGTCGGATGAAAATGCGGTTTTTAAGACTGAATATTTAAATAAAAATCTCTCTCCCTACTTGCCTCCCCTTCTTTTTTTCAGTACTATTTTGGCAATCACAATCTACCAAGAGACAAATTCCTGAAGGAACAGATCAAACTAGATGATGGCTGGGTGCCTTTAGAAGTAATGATCAAATTCAACAGGTAAAAACAAAGTACAATTAGTCTGGATGGAAGGGATGTCCCTGGTCTGCATGTACAACTCCTGTTGCTGTTTTAACTTTTGGCTTCAGGTTTTTGCCATTGTATTTGTAATAACCTGTGTCTGCTTACTCAATATAGGTTAAGTCACCTTTCAACAGATTTTAGTGTTATTGTAGAAGCGTTAAGAAAATCCAAGACTGGTTTAATGGAAATAAGTGAAGACAAAATGAAAATCAGAAGATCTCCAAATAAACCCCTTCCTGAGTTAAATGACCAGTATAAGGCTGCAATTAGAAACAGATCTGTGTATGTTGTAAGTAAACTTCTTCCTTGGCTCTGTGCCATTCTGCATGACTTTGACTGGAAACCGTCTAAGAAAAGCCTGAATTAACTCACACTATATGGGTTATCATTTCTGACTTTATGTCAGCTTGTTGTATGTAATTGAAGCTTGTTGCTCTCTTGCAGAAAGGCTTCCCACTAGATGCAACTCTTGATGATATCAAAGAATGGCTTGAGGATAAAGGTCCAGTTGAAAATATTCAAATGAGGAGGACATTGCAGAAAACATTTAAGGTAGCTTTTGCAATGAACATTTAGCCCTGGGACAGGGATCCCCCCGGACAATATTTTGTTCGATTGCTCTAATGCTGAATATCTCTTACCACTTAACAGGGCTCAATATTTGCAGTTTTTGATAGTGTTGAATCTGCTAAGAAGTTCACAGAGATCCCAAACCAAAAGTACAAAGACACAGAGCTGATAATACTTTTCAAGTAAGTCCACTTAACTAATGTACGAATAATGGTCAAGGGTGGATTTAGATGAGAATGCATGAATGGCTTGACTAGAGAAGTTTAAGTTTCTGCACTGTTTTACAGGTATTGATAGCTGTACCTTTTGGAGACTAGCATCTTGGCTCTGACAGATAATCTCAACTTGTTCTTGGGTACTGCTGCCTTATTAAGTAATTATAATGGAATACTTTAAGTGGTGTTAACTTAGCATGTATTCTGTTGCAGGGAGGAGTATTGTACAAAGAAGAATGAAGAAAGGAAACAATACAAAGTAGAAGCTAAAGCAAGAGCTAAACAGTAAGTCATTATCAGTTGAAATGCCTGGTTTTACTCACCTGACTACACTTGAAACAACTCTTAACTAATTTAACCTTTCTACAGGGAAAAAGAAGAAAAACAGAAACAAGCAGCAGATGCTGAAATGGTATGGGCTTCTTAAATCTCTGTACTTGAAAACTATGGAATGCTTGCTGTTGTGTGGATTTTTCAAGCCACACATAAAAATGCTCCTGCAGCAACATTTTGTAAGGCTGACATTCAGTATTAACCATTTGATATTCTGTAATACAGAGCACTTCCTAGAAAGTTCAGCTTTTCCAACTAACTTATGGTGAGACTTTGTATTGTCATAGTATTTAATCTTACTTTCAAATGACTAATTTTGTTTAAAGGATCGTATCCTGAATTTAAATTATTAGGCACATTTCCCTGTTGAGAAGTGATCTTAAATGCACTACCGAGATGACAGTTCTCCTGTGGTATTTAAAGGATCAAGTAAGGATTTAATCAGTTTTATAGAGATTTTCAACCTGAGGTGTCAGCCTTCAAAAAATTTTTGTAAAATTTAGAGTGTAACTCTTAAATGTGTCAGAGTAAGCAAAGAAAATTTAAAAAACTAAAAAGAAGGAGGCAAGATAGACCATGCAAGGCTTTGACATCAGCATTAACAAGCTATATAGCAAGAACACTTGGGTTACTGATGGGGCCAACTTCAATTGCCTATTCATGACTACCATGTGTTAATAGTGTTAGGATTTGGGGGGGGTGAGGAAATGAATATTCAGACTTGACTCTTCAACAAAAATGTGGGGGTTTATTTCATTCTAGAGGTCTCTGGAAGAGAAGACAGGATGTCTTTTGAAGTTTTCTGGTGATCTAGATGATCAGACATGCAGAGAAGACCTTCATGATGTATTTTCTGATCATGGAGAAATCAAATGGATACACTTTGTCAGAGGTGCAAAGGAGGTCAGTAGAATCTTAGACAAGGAGTTAAGATCTCTGTATTAAAGTTTTAAACTGAATGATTAAATGCTTGTTCTGTTTGTTACATAATCAAGTAAGAAATTATGTGGCTTGTGGAATTGCAGAGTATTTAGAGAACTGAACTACTCCCTTAAATTCTTTCAAAAGAACAGATAAAGTTTTTAGCCTTCTTGGTTGATAAGGTCAAAACTGAGACTTAGGATGTTTGTTAGGACAGTGTGAGGGTTTTGCTTCAGTCTGGACATTCTACATCCTGCAAGAGTAATGAACTTGCTGAGCTACCTAACGGGATGCGTTGTTCATCATTCTAGCTGAATGTTTTTGGAGTAAGATTCAAATGCTAATGCCATTCTTCTTTTTAAGGGAATTATCCTATTTAAGGATATTGCAAAAGAAGCTCTGGAAAAAGCCAAAGCAGCACATAATGGAAACTTACAGCTTCGGAACAAGGATGTTACATGGGAACTGCTAGAAGGAGATGCAGAGAAAGAAGCTCTGAAAAAATTACTGGAAGACCAGCAAGAATTGCTGAAACAGAAAACAAAAGGTCCTCCTTTTATTGGTTTAAGCATTTATAATGTCCTAGAAGTGGCACTGTGGTGAAAGTAACTGTAAATAGTGAATACATACTAAACACTGCCTAACTGTAAAGCTTTCTTTTGACTTTGCCAGTTAAAAGACAAACTGTGCAAAGTTCATGACATCTTCCATTCTCACAGGACGCAAAGCTAAAGGAAAAGGAAGAGGGGGAAAGACACCTCAAGGTGCACACAAAGGAAAAGTACAGTTTCAGGGCAAGAAAATCAAGTTTGATAATGAAGAAGGTGGTGAAGATGATACTAAAACAGGTATGTCATCCTGTGCACTGCAAGCCGCTTCTTTAGTACACAGAGCTACCTTCTGGAGAAGTATTCGTGGTTTTTAGAAGTGTTTCAGGTTTGGCCCTACACTGCATACTTCTGCCCTCTTGTCAGCATCAGTAAATTAGCTAAAGATAAGAGTCTAAAATAAAATCACTAGCCAGCCAAGGCTGTACTGCATGGCTGTTCAAAGCATTCTGCATTGAAAGCTGGCGGTTGTCAGCGATATGACAGTTGTACAGAGCCAGTTGCTTGAGTGGTGATTTTTCTTTTTTTTTTTTTTTCCCCACTGGGGCTATGAGAAGACTAATAGTTTTGCATACTGGTATTTAGCTTGGAGAAGAGGAAGAGCTAGGATTTTATTCATTAGATATGGCACCTGCTTAAGCAAAACCCAGTGATACCTACTCCTGTTAGATTGTATTCCTTCATCTTACCTGCTCTCCTGCTGTGAAGTTATACAGGGAAGAAGCTCTTTAAAGCTGGTGCTTTAGAACATCTAAAAGCTGTAAGTCACAGTAATAAGTAAGCCCTCTAGCATGGCAGTGGCTAGTGAATAAACTAGGACTCATCCTTGAAGTTATATGGTAGGAAGGATTTGTTTTTTTCAGAAGATTTCAGGCAATACTGAAATGTTTTCCTTTACCATAAATGACTACATATGCAATCTTGCAGAACCAGCAAGTCCCAAGAAGAGACCACTAGAGGAAATGGAAAAAGAAGAACCTGCACCAAAACAATTGAAAACAGAAAACGGAGGAGGAGATTAGTAATACTAAAATAATAAAAAGTTAAAAAAAAAGAAATTGTTTTATTGTTCCATTTTCAATAGGTTTTAAAGACATGCCTCAGTTCAGGAGTTTCTTGGCAGAAAATCTAATGAAATCCACTTCAATGTCAACCTACAATGAGAGGAAAGCTTCATTTTGTTGGGTTACAGCTTTATTCTGTTTAAGAAGCATGCTTACTCTTAACACCACCCTGGAAAACCTACAGTTCTGTTTATACTGTCAGATCCTCTCAATTTCTCTGGCACCTCATTCAAATGTAAAAGGTTCTGGACTTTGTAATATTGCGGTTATGTTAAATAGCAGCTGCCAATAAATTCAGAACTTAAAACTGCTTACTACTCAAGCCTGCATGTTAATGTAGTATAAAGCTGTGCCTGTGAGGTAGCAAAGTGAAGGACAGACTTCCATCATTTCAGTTGAAGTCACCAAGACAACAGATACAACTGAGTAAAACTTGTCTTTGCTACTCAACATACCGAGCAGTCTTAAAAATCTTACTTGGTCTACTCCAGGATTCTAATTCCCCTGTGGTAATGGGTTACACATCTAGGCTAGCAGTCCTCTCCCAGGAACTTGCCTGTGGGGTCAGGTTTCCATATTCCAGCATCCCGCCTAGATGATGTGGGATGGAAATGCACAGCTTCCTCCTGCCCCCTCTAAGATGGTTCTATGGGGGATGTCACAGGCTGTAGCTATTTGCAGTAGAGAGCAGAGTACTGAATGCTACAGCTGTAAAATCCTAGTTACTCTGGCCTTCATTACTTCAGACTAACTTCCAGCTGCAGATACAATCAAGCAAATAACTCAAAAGTTAAGTAGGCTACCTGTAGCTTTTTCACATCTAGTAGCAGTGCTGGCTGTAATTTTTGTGTACAGCTTTGACTTGCACTCCAATGATTCTTTTCTCTGTTCAACTAGTAGCTGAACAGAGAAAAGAACAGAAAAAATGTAGTAATAGTAATGGAACTTCATGCCATCATTGTGAACATCTCTCGAGCGCTGTGAGCATTTCTCATTCAGTATATATGGCCCTAAACCTCCAATGTCCTTAAGTAGAATTTATTTGCCTTGTACAAAACATTTTCTTAGTTATGTTAGTTTTTATACTTACTGATTTCTTCTTATGGAACTTGTATGATGCTGGTAGGTCATATCTAAGTTCTGTGAACAGTACAAAGAACATGTTACACTAGAATGAATATTAGTCAGTTGACTTATACCCTACACCCATGTTCTTCTATTACCTGTGCCTGTTGCCCCTGACAACATAACTGTGTTGACCTCTGACCTACACTATGACTGAACATTTAAGCCAACTGCATCGGACAGTAAGTGGATGGCTGAAATGCGATTGTGTTTCAAGCACTTGTGCAACTTTCATGTCTCCAAGTTGTATGGCTATATAAAACATCCAGATGGTGACTGAAGTATCAGGAAGATACTTGAATCACCAGAAAAATACTTAGGACAGAGTGGTTTTTTGTGTGAGAACTAACCTGCACTTTACCTTTGTTATTCAGCAACAATCTCCTCTTGGGAGAAGGAAAGTAGGTAACCTCTGCTTGAAGGCAAAACCTAGCCCAGGAAGAATCCAATTCTAATTCTACATGGAATATGTATTCCTCAGAACTTAAGTGCCTGCTTGTATTCTAGCCAGGCAGCAAATATTTAAAAACCACCAACCAACTCCTCCCCATCCCAAACAAACAAAAAAACCCCATCCTAAACCCAAAACCTCCACAAAAGAACTGCTTAAAAAAAGACTTATGTAATTTTCAGTCACAAATCCAGATTTACATCAGGCTATTAAGACACTAGCCCCCACCATAAGGGGTTGGGCTGTGTGTGTGTTTAACAATGTATCAATCTTACCTGCTATGACTTCCATCTTCACTTCCCATTCATCTGCTTTCTTTTGAATATGCTACAATAGAAAATAGATACAGCTAAATTTAAAAGCACATTTTTATACTATTTATAAACATCTACACCCTTACCCTTAGCCAAGAAGTCTCCTGTGCTTTTGTTTTTCAAGCTGAAACATTAAATCACATACTTATCTTGATGTATGTGAGATCAGTTATTTGGCATGATCAGTATTTCCGAAAAACAAGTTTCACACCCCATAAAGGTGTGAACAAATCAGTGAAGCTATAGACAACATCACTGCCTGGTTACGCTTGCCCTACTAAAATGAAGGACTGACTTACCTGCCGTGTTGAAGTTTTGTGAAGGGAATATACAGCTGTTTTTGCCATCTGTAATGCAGTTTTCAGAAAAATCATATCAATTCCTAAAAGATGGATGAAATTATTAAACCCGTTAAATGCAAACTTAAGCTAGAGGATTTAAAGATCTGCTTCATGCTTCTATTTTTTCTGGAGTAATAGCTATTTGAGAAACAGTAACTGAATACATTAAGGTACAGGAAGTATTTCTAAAACCCAGTTGCTTTTAGTGAAACACAAAAATGACAGCGATATGAAATAGCTGGTATTGTTTATTTCAAACCCAGCAACTGTTAGTTACAACATTGAAGTTTTTAATCTGTACTTGGGAAACTGATTCCCGACCAACAGAAGTCTAGGTAATTACAATAGCTAACTGTAATAAGAAGAGAGATGTTTCATTAAGTGTCTCCCTTGCTATTTCATTCCTAATAACGACTTTCAGAATTACGAACCTTTATTATGCTTGGTACCAAACGGAGGGTTCATAATAACGGTGTCGAAAGTCTCTGACATGATGTCAGATAAAGAACAGACATCACACTGAACCACGTTGATGTTCGTGAGCTCAAAGTCTTCAATATTACTATTAAATATTTCTAGTGCATCTGCATCGATGTCAAACCCCACAGTAAACCTAGCAAACAAAAAAGTGTGACATATTAGTCCCCTCCAAACTAAAATGGTGTTTAAATTCTAAATTCTGTAGTAACGTTTTGAAAGGGATCTGAGTACACAATTTGCTTTACCTAACACTATAAATTCAGTCCTGATGAAAATGTGAGGAGCTCTGCTGCCCTTTCTGAAATATCTTTTTCAAGTTTGTGAAGGAAGTTTCATGTGTTCATTTAGTGCTTCAGGGGAAAGCTAACATTCTGACTTTCAAATTCTTGGCAACTGTCCATCTCTTCCACTATTTCAATGGTTATTGACTGTCTAAACAGATTAAATAGCCTCATTATGCACCAGGTATGATACCTAAAATGAGTTTAGTTCAGCATTACTATGTTCTAATCTTACTTTTTACTCTTCTATACCAGAAAAAAAACACTGCCAGAACTTAGTATTAAATACTTACCCTGCTCCTAACATTGCACTTCCAATGCTGAGCATGCCACAACCACATCCTAAGTCTGCAATTGTTTTGTTTTCAATATCATCAAAAGTATTGTGAATTGTATAAAGCATACATGCTGGGAAAAACAAACAAAACCAACACACACGGATCAGTAATATCAAACATGCATCTGATTAACCAAGAAAATCTACTGCCCTCAGAAAAGTCTGAACTAGAGATTTTTTTGTCATGCAAAATTAAACCAATGTTCTCACTGCTTGTAATTATATTTTTAATTTATATGTGAAAACAAGTTAAAAACATTTTGACAAGTTATAGAACTCCAAATCTTTGGTGGAGACATTACACACAGAGCTGTATCGTCTGTGGGAAACTCTCAATTTGTTTGGGGTATACCAATAGAAGGAGGTGAAATGTTGAGGAAAAAACCCATAACTAAGGTACAGATGAGTGTCTGAGTATATACACTTTTACTAGGGTTTATGTGTCATGAAATAAGTCCACTTTGGCTTTCTCATGTACCGATCAGGATGTTTCTATCACAATTAAGATGTTTCTATCACAACGTTATATTTTAAATCCATTTAACTTGATTTTTGGATTGTACATTAGTATGTATACTTCTATATACAGTATACTTCTAATAAAAAAAGTTAACAGGTCATTAAAAATAATTAACATTTCTGCTGAATTTCTCAACTACTTTTAGTCTAAAGGGTTCAAAGGAGATAATGCAGTAGAAAAATTATTTTCTTCATGTTTTATTTTTCCTTTTTTTTTTCCTATTTTTTCATGCTGATGAGAAGTAGCCAAAGAGGTGACAGTGGCTCTAGGGTAACCTCTACCTGCAATATGAGGTCTTGTTGGATACTGTTCAAGGAGTAGTTTTGGATTTTCAAAGGCATCAACTTGTTGAAGACAGCTTTCCAGTTCTTTAAGCTTTAATTTCTTCATGTTTGTAGTTTACCTACGGAAAACAATGCGCAATCAGTTACAATACTGTAAATAAAGTGCATGTCGTCTCGGATTATTTTACACCTCACATCCCGGTGTACTCCTCAGCATCTTCCAGGTGTTTTCCTGCAGCTGTTGCCACGGATCCCACTCACGACAGGGACAGACGTGGCGGCGCCGCTAACGCGAGGCCTGTCCGGACCGCGGCAGCCCCTCTCCCC